TTATTATTATTGTGAGGAACTTATTTGTATTTTTGTTATGTAGAATGCATTGCGACAACAAAGATTTGTGCGGGAGGTCACAATACAATACAACCTTTGCAATGAACCCTGGTATCTCCAGAATCCTTGCTATAGTGGTGGTCATCTGCATTGCTGTTAATATACTACTCAATTTATTAGGATTTAGGACTATATAGTGATCAGTAATTTTGATTTGGCAGAGAAATACTGACTGATGACACAGAAGTTGGAGTATAGCCTTTTTCTTTGCCACTTCAAACTTTTATTGATGTTTCAATTTTCGAAAGGTTAAACAGCCAAAGAGAACAGAATAGAGAGGGCCTCGCTTTGTTCTTCAAATAAAAACAAGAAAAGAATATTACAAAATAGGTAATACAAGCAAAATACAAAAACTAAGATCTTAGGAGGTTTCCCCAGTCCTCAAATTCAAGTTTCTGAAATGATGCCCTCTACTTCCAATCAAACTAGAATGAAGATGTTGCCTTCTTACAAGGTGGATTATAGCTTCTATTGATGTAATTCTCCTCCCAATAGGTGAGACATCTTGCTTCATAGTGGAAGGCTCCACTCTTGAGCTTTGTTAGACTCGGTGGTAGTGTAAGTTGTGCGAGAATGGAAGTGATGAAGCAGCCTCTTTAAAATTCAATTTAGTAACTTTGTATCTTAATGATTTTTCCTTTATTTATAAAGATAATGAGCATGTATTCAAAGTTATAATGACTATGCTATCTATTGTTATACTGCAAAAGTAACTCACCATGCTATTTTCTTTTGTGCTTGATAGAAAGCATTATTATGTAAATGTAGAGAGGGAACTACACTACAAACTCAGAAGTAGAAAGGAGATTACACTCCCACAATAACATTTTCTCACCCAAAAATATAATTTTTAAACTTCTTTCTTTGTTTAGTTTTTTTTTTGGATTATAAAACAATAGTTTTAATATATAGGCGCGATAGAGGAAATCACTCTATCACCTAAATTACAAAATATATAGAAGAGTAAATTGCTATGAGTACATTCTTTCAGTGAGTTTTGAGTTTCTCAAACTCTCAATTCTCGCACATTATTGTAGGGTGATACCTTTTACCATGTACAAGCTTTGAGGTTTCAATATGACGTTCTCTAAGGTAGATTACTGATCTTCAATGATCCTGGGATTCTGTTTCAACCAGAAGTTTTAATGCATATAGCATGTAAAACAGTTTCCAGAAGAGCTTGTCGGAAGGGGAGAGCAATTTCGCAGGCTGTTTTAACTAAGGACTGTTGTATGGACTGCTGCACTCGAAGCTATGAAGGAATCAATCTTACACAATCCTAGCAAAATGAATCCCTAAAGAGGTGATATTCCACAAATGAGACATCCCATTAGTTATGATTTCCCTTCTCCTTTGTGTGGTGAAACCCTACCCAGCATTAAATTCCAAAAGAGAAAGCTTACTTTGGAAGGTACTCTTTTTTCCCATATTTTCTTCAATGGTGTATCATTGTCATCATTCGCTTGTTGTCGGGCATCCGATACTAAGATTTCTTATGGGTCCAATAATGAGCACATAGAAACCATCCCTTGTCTTGGGACATATTCTGTTTTCTTAAGAAAATGTGTGATCTAGTATGAAAAGGAGTCTCGATTCTTGAGGTTGGTTTGTCCACCTGAATAAGTCTCTCCTTGGTTATGCATGGTGGAAAGGCATTGTGAACCACACAAGGCAATATTTAAACATCAAATTTAGTGTTGTAAAATGACTTCTTTTTCCAGATAACTTCTGGTGTGGAGAAAATCCATTGAAGTTGGGGTTGTATGCCATTTTGGACAAATCAAAGGCTACGGTAAAGAGTTGACCACCATCATGGATGGTAGGGATGGCAATGGTTTGGGAGCAAAGAAGATGAATGGGAAGATGAGAGAAGTCAATATTTTGTATGAGGAGCGTGCTAAGAGGAACGAGAGAGGCATAAAAAACGTTGATTGACTTTTGATTCACCCTTGCCTTTTGTTTGGCTGTTGTTATATTTTTCTTGTAAAAATGTTGATGCATGCATTTATAGAATGAATTGTTGTTGATAGAGAATCATTCTTTTAATTATGTAGGGGAAGGAATAGGCATTGCATGCGCTGTATTCAATAATTTTATATCTTTGTTGTGATACTGTTTCTTGAACTTATCCATTGTCATACATTGCTGTAGGATTAAATACAGTATAAGCATAGTTGCTGACAAGGGACTGAAGAAACCCCTTTACGCATCTGCGCGCTTGAAAAAAGGGGAAGTTCTATATTTAGAAACACATTCAAACAGGTGAGCTTTTCTCTTTTAATATTTTTATGTGGGAAAGGAAAAGAAGTTTCTGTATATGCTGATATTGGTTCATATTCACGAGTACAGTTTTGCATGTTTTAATGTCTTGCCATTGTTATCTGAAGGTACGAGCTCTGTTTTAATGGAGAAAAAACTGTCAGTGCAATAGCATCCTGTCAGCCGGTGGAATTGGAGATGGATAAAATTCAAACTCATTATTCACATGACACATAAATGGTGATAAAGGTTTATGTTATGAATATTCCTTTCCTATTTTCCTTTAATTGTTAATAGACTAGTCTTGGTAGTTTCCCCTTGGCTGAGTGTTTGGTTCACAGTCATGAGGTTGCCAAACCTAGGATCTGCTCTTACTTTTGGTTCGCAGTTCTGTTTTAGGTATC